CGCAAAAAATGGTAAAGGTAGGGACGTTATCCACCAAAAAACTAAAGGTAGGGACGTTATCCACAAAAACCTCCAAAGGTAGGGACGTTTTGTGCTAATCACCCTTTTAGAAATTAAAATTAATATTTCACTTTAAGTAAAAGTCTGCAATAAACTTTAATCACATATTTCATTCGATCCACAAATTTTTGAACTAAAAATTTGATTTTATTTCCTACCAAACAAGGATTTAATGAGACTCATTACTATTTTTCTATTATTTGATTCTTTGTATAAATTATTTATAAATTTGCTATGGAGCCTTAAATTTTACTTCAAGCACACGTGGGTGTCTTTCTTTATCTGAGTTATGACAGCGAACTAAAGGAGTTGGAATATGTTGGGGGCACGTTCTCATTTTACCTTTTTAATCCGAATCCAAGTGTATTTCTCAGTGTTTTTTTTTTTTGGAAGTTGGTATATAAGTTTTTTTACATTTCTTCCGTTTACAAGGTGGATTAAATTTGAATGGATTAACCCCAGCGAACAGGGCTTCATTTCACAGGGCATTGCTAGGTCCCTCACTGTAGTAGCGGGCCCCCCCTAGCCAGAAAAAAAAAAAAGAAAAAGCGACGAGCCCTTCTGTGTGTGTATTCTGACAGAGACCTGAGTACATCAAGCGGTGTTCAATTTGAATTTACTGAGTCCATAGAGTTCGGATTGCAATTATCGAAAATCATTAAAATGCTTTAATCATTGTAACACTAATATTACTACGAAAATGCAGCTTCACAATTGAGTAAATGTCACGCAATTTGGACTGGTTGGGATTAAAACCTATATTTTAAGTTAAATTATAGCCGACAGTTAATTTTAACCACATATTTCATAAGACTGTCCCATTTTTCAATTATATATTTTACAACTTTCATCAACATTTATTAAAAATGTGATTTTAATTCCTAGAGTATAGTGGTAACTTTGCTTTCCAATTTGGAGATGTACTAGACCATACTTTATTCCTACCCTGCTAATCAATCCGCTTGTTGAAGAAGCATTGAAAGTTCAAAATGAGAGACTATTTCTAAATTTACCATGCTTGTTCGGGTTTCATTATGAGTTACTAAAATTATAATGTTATAGATTTAAGTGATATATAGTCACATGAAATGTATGTTTATTATTAAAATTTGATTTTGACCTTTAAATTTTATGAAACTTTTGATAAAACACAAAACATTACAGATTGTGGATTAGTCCAAAAGTAAAGGAAACTCCTGTTTATATTCATTTAACAAGCCGTTAGCTAGTGTTCGGATAAAATCTGCAAGCATACGAAATCATTGGCAAATAATAGAATTGACGAGTTGAGTTATCGTCCCACAAGGACTAATAGCTAACTATAGTTTACCAGTTTCTATCAAATCCAATGTTGATAACACAAAAGACACGTGATTTTTGTGATTATCCTAAATTAAACTGTTAATAATGTAAAAGATTGGTTTTATCTGCTATGAGACATGTATTAGATTTCAAAATTCACCTATTGATTTCTATTTTCAATGCTCAACTTAAAAAAAAAAATAGTGTTATTTAGGAAAATTCTACTTACATAATTATTGCATATAATGATATTCATAATGTGATGTGACAATCATCCGATTGTTAATGTGCAAGTGTGATATTTGAATTAAGGGTTGGATCCAGTGACACGTGTAATTATGTCACCATTATATAGATAATTATGTACATGTATTACTTCCTTGTTATTTAATTGTTCGTAACAATCGATAATCCATTAATGTCTAATATTCTTTTCCAAAATATATCAAATCTATCCTTGGCATGATTCTGTCATATTTCTAGTCTGAATTCATATGCCAAAAAAGTATTCAATCACATGATTATCACTATAGATTGCATACGCACTAAAAAAATTGTTAATACCTAGTACTCGCATATCAAATAAGCAGTATTCTACTTATTGTAAATTTCTCAACACTACAATAAGTAACAAGTTATTTAATTTGTAGCTACGCAATCAAATAACACAATAGTCATGCATATTTAATCGTAAATACAAGAAATAAATAAAATACGATAAGTCTTGAATTAGAAATATAATTCAAAAGATTTTATCGTTCATTCAATACGCAAAAAGTTTAACCTCATCATGCTATTCAAATTATACAAGAAGATATGGAAAGACACCACCCAAAATTAAAAACAAAAAGGGTGAATGACTCAAAAACTTGATTTCTTGAACTTCAATCTTCAATCTGAGCTTTGAAACTTCAAATCTTTTTGGAAAATTCTTCTTAGCCACTTGTTAGACTCACTTCAATGACAAAATAATGGTTTTTCATGTTCAGGACCTTGTTTAGGTCATATAAGATGCTAAATATGTCATTCCATATATAGCCGGATAAAAAAAAACGAAATAAAAATCTTTTCATGGGAATGAACCAGGCGCACGCCTAGTAGTAAGTGAGATGCACGCCTAGTTATGTCCTCGAGCAGCTATCAGTATTTTTGTCATATATTTCTCTTTGATATCAGATTAAGGTGATTCAAATTGTATTGAAAAGACAACTCAAAGAGGTTACATTCTTCTAAAAATATCATTTTTGCCAATTCAAATGTTTAATGTGCCAATTATGAGTCTCATTTAGAGTCTAAAAATTCGGAGCATAATCTTTTTGGCTGAAAATTGATGTGTGAATATATTTTGACTATATTTCACTATTTTCGCTTCTTTTCTCATCTAATTGAACCCTAGCATTATCTAATTCTTATCGTGAGGTTCAATACAATTTTGAATATTTGCACTTTAGTCCTCAAACTTTGAATATTTACAATTAAACCTCTTTTCACATTTTAGTTTTTTGTTTTTGTACAAACAGCAAAATCCATTTACTAAATTTTTATGATCAGTGATCCACTTGTTGCAAGTGCTAGAATTTTTTTTACAATAAGTAAAAACATCTATTTTATAAAAACACGTGATTAACACTTGGCCATGTGGGAACCTACTCTCTCGGGCACTGCCGCTGATCCACCATTGTGATAATCTTAAAAATATCAAAACACAAGACTGCTTTGACTCCATGACAATGACAGTGCTAAAAAGGAAAAAAATGGAAGAACTCAAGAACCACGTAAACATCATGAAATGAAATTATGCATTTGTGTCTAAAATTCTTGATAATATCATTACAACTTATATATATATAAAGTTTAAAACTGTGACCCAAAATCCCCATTGAAAAGCAAGAAGTATAATAATAATTAAACTAAAAGGTCCACTTGAAGATCTTGAGATCAACCTTACATTTTGCATCAGAAGTATTGGCCAAGGCAGGATTTTTGCCCTTTTGCACCCATCCACGAATGCCATCACACTTGACTCTGATTCCGACCTTTTTGGTCTTCAGCTTTTCCATTTTCACCCCTATCATCGTGTCCACCACAATCTGTAATGGGATCCCATTTCTCTTCTTCAGATCTGACTTCAATGAATTCAATTCGTCCCCGTCTAATAATTGGTAGTTTAATCCAGTTGTGGTGTGTATTATGAAAATGGTGCCTGGTGAATTGGTGAAATTTTTGAAAGAACCAGATGATATGGTTACTTGATTAGATGACACTGTGATGGACATGGGATCGTAGTAGAATATCACCTTTGTGTTGGAATTTTTGGCGGAAAGAGTAAGGTTCAATTGAGTTGTTAAGTGGGTTGTGCCGTCGAAGGTGGTGGTGGTGAGGTTGAACTGGGTGATTTTCAGGGAGGAGACGGAGAATGCAGGGCGGTGGGGGTGGTAGAGTATGTAGAAGGCAGCGGCGGCAATTGCGACAAGGAAGAAAATAGCAATGAGTAGGATAATGGACCCGAAGCAAGATCGGCAGAAGCAACGGCGGCAGCTGAAGCGTCGACTGCTGAGGTTGCGGGCGGTGGGGTTAGGACGGTAGGGGTGGCGCATGGGGTTGTAAAGCTGGGTTTTGGTTGCTGTCTTGTTGGTGGTGGGCCTGGTGGCTGCGGCGGCAGCGGGGTTAGCGGTGGCCCAATTTGTCTTCATTGATGGGTAACTCTATCTGTCAATTTCAGTATTGTCCAAGGTCAGATTTGGAACAAAAATTATATATTGTGCTATGGAGTTGTAAAGAGAGCGTTTCTACTGTGTGACTGTGTTTTTTGTTAGAGAGAAGTTTGAAGAAGAGTACTGTGTTTATTCGAGAGAGAGAGAGAGAGAGAGAGAGAGAGAGGGAGAGAGTACGTATGTGTAAATAGAAGAGGGAGAGGAAGAGGGAGAGGAAAGGAACACTCTTACTCTTAACAATGACGAATGTTACGTTAATTTCATCCTTGGTCACTGAACTTTAAAGAAAATATCAATTAGGTAACTGAGCCTTTGTTTGATTCCCTTTAAAATTTTAATATATTGTTATCTTTTCTTTATAACCACACATTCTTTAATAAAATAATATTACACGTAAATCAAAAAATTTGTATAAGTTATACACAGGGCCGGTCCTGAGGCGAGGCGGATGAGGCCTATGCCTCAGGCCTCAAGCTGAAGGGGGCCTCGTTTCCATGGCCATTTTTTTTTTTTAAATGAAGAAATCATTTTCCTCTCCAGCTCGCCTATGGCTGCTGGGAAGTTGAAGAATATTCTGGAAATCATTTCTTGCTGGAAACATCAAGGTTGGATGCAGCCGCCATTGTTGTAGACTTGCACTCCAGAAGCTTGAACGTAGAATAGAATTCGGAAGGAAGGGAAGATGATGACTGATGAGTATTTTCATTGGGCCAACTTTTAATTTCCTCTATTTTCCAAAGTCCAAATGGTAACTTGTAAGTCTTTTGTGTTGGGCCTCTTATTTATTTTTAAATGAGGCCCATATCTTGTATATTGTGAAATGATTAAAACAAAGTTGAAACCCTGTGATTCTCAGTTTCTCTCCTGCCACTAGTATTGAATGCCGACCTGGTGATTTTCGTTGGTAAAAATAATGAGAAATTAGCGATAGGTTCGTTGGATCCATTTTTTTCCCATCTTAAATCAGCTAAAGATCAAAATTAAAAGTGGATGTTTCTTGGTCGGTTGGTCCGGTAAAGCCATTTTAGAAAGGTATAGTACTAAATTTTTATCAATTATATGTCTATCTAGGTTTTTGTTTTTATTCTGTTAATTAATTCTGTATTTCTGTAGGAGTGGTCTTCTCTTTTCTTGAATTTTTTTATTTTATTCAAGTTTATGAGATTAGTCAATATGCCAGAAGTTCTTGAGAGATCTGTGACAATATAGAGAGAGATCGAACAAATTGATAGTTCAGTTCAATCAAATGTAGCAACAGAAGCTAGAATACCATTTTCTTTTCAAATCTTACAACTGGGAGAATGTTTCAAGAAGTGAAGATCCAATTTTTGTAATTCTCTGTGGATGGCTCTACCGGAGGAAAGAACGAGAAATTGAGGAATGCTCAATTCCATTTTCATGAACTTTTTATACTTATTAATTAAACATGTTCTGCTATTTGTTTGTGTATGTGTTTTATTTGTGAGCTTGTCTGTTGGAGGCTTAGGACGATTTCAATCTAATTTTTATTTATTTATTTATTATTTTTTTTTTGCTATACATTAATGTTTATGTTTTGCTAAAAATATATCTTGTAAAATCTATGGGGGGCCTAACTTATGGCGTTTGCCTCAGGCCCCGGAAACTACAAGACCGGCTCTGGTTATACGTTTCGTCATGCTTGATTTTAAACTACATTCTTTTAAAAATAACTATTTCAAAATACGTCTTATCTAAATTTCTCATTATATGGAACAGGGGCTAAATGTTTTTTTCTCAATTAAACTATAAAACTCTGATTTAGTTTCAACTTCCATCATTCCATAACATTTAGTCACAAAATGTCTATATCAATGGAAACTGTTTATTTGACAACTAACTGACATGGCTTATGACACCCTAAAAATGAAAATTAATAAATGCAAGTTTATGGAAAATGTAATTAGATTATGTTAAGCCCCTTTTTAAGTCCCATTATTTCAAACTTCATTTTTTAAAACTTATTTCTAAACAATTTTCCTGATAAATGATTTTACACATAAATTTAAAACTTATTTCAACTTTTTAACAACATATTCTAAAAAACACGCTATTACAAAATTTATTTTTCCAACAAAATAGGGCTCAGATAGTGACTAACTCTTTTATAACGTAGCATAGTAATAATACTATTTATTAAATAATTTTCATCAATTTAAGAAATGATACATGATGGAGTCGTGAAATTAAAAACTATAATGAAGTTCAGGGACCCAATTAAGATTTGGCTCACAGTACAGGGACCCCAGATGAAATTTACCCCTTAACGTTTCACGTCACCTCTTGTTTTTTCTATACGTCTTCCTTTCTCTTTGTATAAAGCTTTATCTGCCGCTTGGATTGTATGTAGTGCATGTATATATGTGATCTCTGATTACTAGGCATGTTGTTGACACGTGGGGATCTTATAAACAAAAGAAAGTGGAGCCCAGTTTGAGAGACCACCAACGGAACTTTTTTGGATGAGTTACATTTTTATTTTTTCAACCTTGTTTGACTCCCATTTATTAAATAATGTATTTTTTTAAAATTTATTTTCAACCATAAATTTTTATGTAAAATAATTGTATATGTATTTCAAAAACGTTTCCTTACTTTTTAAATACACATTCTCCAAAAAATTACTATTTCATAATGCATTTTATATCAAAAATGAAAATCAAATATGGGATCAATCTTGAGAGCATGTTCGATGATTTTCTATATTAGATCTAAATTGTTGTTTAAATTTTTGAAGTTATCGAAAACATCCGATGGAAAGAAGCGAAGGAAATATAAAGTAAGTTTTCAACAAAAAATGCAAAAAAAAATAACAATAAAAAATGTAAATTTACATTTATTTTTAGATGTACATGTGGGATCGACAAGAGACAAAAAGCTATACGTTTTATGAGATTCACAATTTTTCAACTATACGTTCCATTAATTTTTGTCAAGACCTATTAAAAATCTAAATTTAATCAACACCAACCAACAAGAGCTTAATTTATAACAAGAAAAACTGGGCCTGGATGCTCTAGTTGATGGGCTAAAATGCAAGTTATAGCTTCAAGAATTCTCTATTGTATGTCACTTCCCAAATTACTCTACTCTCACTAGTGCACGTTTTGTTGTGCTTAAAATGAAGGTTTTTTCCCTTGGGTTGTGTGCGATGGGGACAGAGGCAGACTATCATGACAGATCAATTATAAGGTTAAGAATAATGCAATTTAGCATGATAGTATAAGATCAGTTTAGGTGACGATAAATGATAAGTTTAATGAAAATTAAAATTAAGTAATTCATTTAATTATATATCTCATTTAATGTCACATCAGTGTCACGTATTTTAACACTAGTGCTAAATAGTATTAAACTCATGTTTGAGCCACATTATTGTAAAAATGAGAATGAAAAATATAGTCGTTATGGGTTCCACACAAAAAATAAAAAGTCAAATATGATGGCTTGATGTGATGAATAACGATCATATTTTTCATTTTAATGAAAAAATAATGGGGCTCAAACAAGACCTAAATGATATATATTTTTATTTTGTAGAAATGAATTGGATTAATTTTTAAATTTGGCTTCAATCAAAACAACTTTAATTAATAATTTATAATATATTAAATATCACATCAAGTGAGAATCATTTTTTGAAAGATTTTAACCTTTTTATAATTCAATTATTTTAACAATACTTTACTTATAATTTTTCAATATATAATAAATACATGAATTACGTGTTATAAATTATCGGTTAGTTAATATTCACATTAATCTAAATTCAATGAATCTTGATTTACATGAATCTAAAATTATTATAGGCGAATTTATTCACATTCATGTATCTAAGAATTTTAATGGGTGTTTAAATTCATATATCAGCAATTAATTTTTATGTACCAAATGTAGTATAAAAAGATTATGCATTCGTAGTTTTTCATCATCGCAAAAAATCGAATCATAGAATTTAAATCTTGAGAATAAAATTTTCTTCTTTTAAATTTCTATCCCAAATTTTATTTTCTTTAATTCATTTGAGACTCGTCAAATCCTTTCAAAAAATTGGTACTCGTGCAAATATTATTCTTACAGCACTTATAAAGTATTTCAGAATAACATGCAATGCACGTTCAAATCTTACTAATTAATAAGAAAATCCTACATATCATGCTACCGTAATTAAAGCGCAATCAATTGTGTTAAATCTACCCGCAATATAATGGTATGGAGACTAACGGAATTATATATTTAATGTGTAGAAATGAATTGGATTAATTTTTAATTTTTTTAATATAGTGTTATTTAATGTGTCTTGGTATCAATAAATATAAACTATTCACATTTAAATTATTTTTTAATGTAGGAGTATTTTATGAAAAATGTAATAAAAGTTTATATTTTCATTTTTCAACTAATTTAATTACATCTTTCTAATTTGCATGAAAATGAAAGCAAATCTTTCTTGAGGACGAAGAGAGTATGTGAAATAAAACACTTAAAACAAAAATAGAAATCTATGGGATGACTGCCCAATTAGACTAAGAACTTTGATCCCATTTCTTAAATATCATTTTTTTTTCTTTTTAATGTTATTTCTAATCACACATTTTTCGGGTTACACAATTTTTTATCAACTTTTCATCCACATATTTTATCAACTTTTATCAAAATCTACTAAAAAATATTTTTTTTTTATCCAAACCGAACAAGGACTAAACATATAAATTAAAAATTTACGTGCGTTACATGTTAGCTTGATGGTAGGAACCAAAACCGTATAGCCTAGAATATGAATTATATTCTCTCTTTATATAATAGCAAACGATTGTGAAGCTAAGTGAATGATATATACACAGTGAACACATTCTAATATGGTATTAGACCTTAATCATGGGCAATGTCGTACCATCAAACCCTAATCCTTCCCTTTCTTTACCTCGCCAACCATGTCGCCAGACTCCGATGCAAAGAAACAAATTGGTGCATCTCTATCGAATTTCATCTTCATCGAATTCACAGCAGAAATCACTAAAACTCTTACCAAAGTCCAAACACTGACACTGACACTGACCCTGACCACCAAATCTTTCGTTGCTCCGTTCAGCATCAAGTTGGTGTTGACCTATGGTTGATTATAACCTTAAAGTTTTGATTATAA